GGGAACCAATCAGAGATTGCTATGTGTAATTGTATAGAATTGTATATAAGGAAGTCATGTACAGGGTATATTTCTCCTTGTGCTGCCTTGGGTACCGGGATTGTGGCGCAGCTGGCTGAGTGTCAGCTGCATTAAGATCACTCTGACCAAAAGGTCATGAGTTTGAAGCCAGCCTGGGTTGGAGTGGGTTTCCAACCAATTGTGTGTAGCCTGTTGTCGACCTTTGCAACCCGAAAGACAGTTGCATCTGTCAAGTAGGAAAATAAGGTACCACCTTAAAGAGTGGGGAAGCTAAATTAACTGATTTATGAGGCCATAAAAAAAGACTCCAGCAAAGCATTCCAGCGGGGAAGCAAGTGCTTCATCAGCGTCGCAGATGGACAATGAAAGCGACAGCTCCCCTGGCAGCCAGAAAAAAGTTAAATAGCCTCTGTGTATGTCTGTATATGTTTGTATGTCGAAAATTGGCATGGAATGTTTGCCGTATATGTGTACACTGTAATCCACCCTGAGTCCCCTGCGGGGTGAGAAGGGCGGAATATAAAAGCTGTAAATAAATAAATAAATAAAAATGGTATCAAAAGCCGCTGAGGTGCCCAAGAGAACCAACATGGACACACTTTTTGCACCAGGTTCCCAGTTTGCATGATGTTTTTTGCATGCAGGGCTGGGTTGCATTAGACAAACAGTGCAAGCGGAGGAGAGTGCAAGGCCAAGCCGCACGACTGGCAGGTTGCCTGCAGCCTTCCAGATAAAGGGGAGAATGTGGTGCAGAGAGATAAGAGATTATATAGTGGCAGAGAACAGGACCCTGGCGGGTGATGAATTGGAAGGACGCTAAATGCGTGCGGATGTGAAGAGGGGCCAAGCCGGCTTTGCAAAGGGCATCCGCGTGAGCCTCAAGAGCCTCTGCAAAAGGGCCCTTCTCTCCATCCTCGAGGCCTCCTGCTTCTCCCCTTGAGAGCCCTTTTCATGAACTGGCAACTCTGGTTTGTAAACCGCAACCAATTTTGAAAAGTGAGCCCATGAAAAAAGAGAAACAAATGGGTGCTAGAGCAAATCAAAACCAAATTCTCCCTAAAGAGGCCCATGTGATAGACCATCATGCTTATCATGGAAAGGCTTAACTCACTTGAAGATAATAACGCTGGGCAAAGGGAAAGGCAATAGGAAAAGAGTATGGATAGATTCAATCAAGAAGGAAACCAGTGCTGCAAAGTCTGCAAAACCACTTTAGTTTAGGACAGGACTCTTGGCGGTTTCTCAATCGTAAGGATGCAAAGACAGCTTGGTGGTTAAAACAGCAATAGAAAAAACAGAATGTGGCTTTGTTTGGAATGCAGACTAATCCCTTCTTCCAAGAATGAGGCAGCAGAAGACTTGAGCTCCATTCCTCTGTGCATGGTTCCCAGTAAGCAGTGGAAATGACAAGAGCAAGGCAATGTTTGCAAGAGCTTTTCTCTCCCTGGAAAACTCCTAATGTTGTAGTAGAGTCTGTTGGCAATGCTGCAACTGGTAGTAGGAGTGGTAGAAGAGGGAAACGAGGTGCCCAGGTGTTAGACGAGGAACAGCAAAGGAAGAGGATCCAGGAGATACTTATGTCACCCACTGTTGAAGAGTCCTTCGAAGCAATCCAGAGCAGGGAACGAGGCCCTAAGATAACTATCCACCACACTTGACTGTGAAAAACAATCCTTTTTTATTGAAGAAAAATGGTTACAAAATAAAGGAAAAATGCAAGTCAAAAGCCACAGCAAAATCAGCAAACATGAATTTAAATGGACAAAACAAAACCCAAAGCCTCACTGTAAAATACTGGAACCTGTTAGCAATCCACTAACCGTGCTTGATATCCTAGAAATCTTTCAAGACCATGGCCAGGGAAACCGGGAGAACTGCCAAGGTCTTCATCAATCTGAAACAATGCCTGAACTGAGAAAGTCAGCCCGGCGGAAGGCAATTAAAGCCAAAGAATTGGTTCCGTGAACCGCCCCTGTGCTTTGAAGCCATTGTTTGTATTTCTTTTAATCGGGAAGACCTTCGCAAGCTGAGTGATTTACTTCTGTCTTGCCAAATCTGGCCCCTTCTGTTCTCATTAAAGTTACCAGGTGCAGAAGGGAGTGAAAGGTCATGGCTTCCCTCTGAAACATTCTCATGAACACTGGTACTTTCATTTTCCAAATCTACAGAAGTTCCTTCCTCACTAATTTCAGGAACATTGGCATTTTCCAAACCTACAGAAGTTTCTTCCTCACTAATTTCAGGAGCATTGGTAACAAGAGGTACATTTTCATTAGCATCAGTAAATATATTTTCATTAGCATCAGGAGGAACAAACAGAGAATTAGGTTCAAGTTCAAACTCAGGCTGAACCCCAACACCTTTGAGGGTTTCTCCGAGAGTGAAATGAGTGAGGAAGAGGAAGGAGATACAGATGGGAATAGAGGGACTAAGAGGATTACTCGAGAGCAGGAGTCAGACAAGGAGCGTCAGAGAAAGAAGATCCGGGACATACTTACTGCTCCCACAGAGGAAGAGGATTTCATGTGTTTTTCTGGGAATAATGGGTCTGGGAGTGATGGGGATGAAGGGGAGTCATTGGATTGGACCAAAGTACAGGAGGTTCGGAATGTGTGTACTCAACCAATGTCTAGTGACACTTTTGAGGGGTTTTCTGGTGATGGTGATTGGCAATCAGGTGATACTGTGGAATCGTAGGGAGACCTAAGTCTTGACAAGAGGTGGAAGAGTTGGAGGGATGGGCGTTGGCGTTCAGCTGTGGAGGCTAAGCCAGCTGAGAGTGATGAGGATGGGGTGGAGGGCAGCTCATCATCGGATGATGAGTTGTAAGATAAATGAAGGCACTGGAATGATAGAACTTTGCAGTAGGCAAAGTGTTGGTATCGTGCCTTGGGTCTTGTCGCTGTCGCTTTCCTGTTGGGCTTGGGTCCTGGATCTGCAGGTTGCCGTTTTGCTTCGTGTACCAACCAACTTGGATTCTCGTAAGTGCGGATTTCCCCTCTCCTTGACTTTGGACTGCTTTTGACGACGACGCTGCCTTGTGGACTTTGGAACCTTCAACTAGGATTTCTTTGACTTTGGATGGCATTTGGATGACGGCTTCTCTTCACGGCTCTTTGTTTGTTTTCCTTGAACTGTGTGATTTTGGTGTGCTTTGGAAGAACTCTTGTTTAATCTGGGTTTTTTGCCAGTTTAATCTGGATTATTTTCTAAATTAGTTTTACAAGATAGAAATTTTCCCAAATCTAGGACTCAAACCAACCGACCATTTAAAAGTAAACCTTAAAATTAAGCTAAGTGAGCTGTTGGAATCTGAAACACATCTGAACACTTATCTCGATCCAACTTGTGCCTAGTTTAATCATTATTTTGTGTATTTTATTATATATGTTTTAGTAATACGTTTTAATATGTGTATTTTGTACATTGATTGTATGTTTTTAGTTATGTTGTGACCTGCTTCAAGCCATGGGAAGAGGTGGGTAAGAAATAGAATAATAATAATAATAATTATTATTATTATTATTATTATTATACTATGTAATTAAATTTGAAAATGTTTCTGTTCCTGCTTTGAAAGTGTTGTTTCCTATTTATTTGTTTGGTACTTACCTTGTTGTTCTACTCCACAAACTATGTTGGAATTTAATGTCGAAGGCTTTCATGGCAGATATCACTGGATTGTTGTAGGTTTTTCTGGGCTATATGGCCATGTTCTAGAGGCATTTTCTCCTGACGTTTCGCCTGCATCTATGGCAAGCATCCTCACTACCTCTGAGGATGCTTGCTATAAAGCCTCCTCAATTGGCCGTCTGGACAGGGGGTCAAAGAATCCCACCACTGTCCCTCCTGAATAAGGAAATCACACCACTTTGGCTCTTATAGCGTTTGAGGGGATGTCTCTTTCTTTAAAAACCTTCGCTGCCACCATAAACTGAAGAATCACGAACCCTCTAGCTATTTAGAATACTAAAAGGCTGTTTAAATTATTAAAAGGCTTTTTTACTCCACCAAATACTGTATATTATCAAGGGCTTTCTTTGAGGYGAAACAYGAGAGGTTGYTTCAACAAGGAAAAGGACTCKAAYCCAAAAATGGCACTTGACTCAGGCTTAAATTTTAAAAATAACAAGAAAGAGTTTATTGADTWRAAGWTACAGAATKWAAYGDGAAATGCAGGTTCAGAGGCTTGGCTGTTACAATYBAAGTGTTCTTGGTTCTTAGAAGCGTAATGGTTACTTGAGAGAAWMGTTCTATTCTTTGTTACAATRCCTTAYCARAYAYACCCAGCTATTTTCTTCTCRAAAAATAGCTGTAACTCAGTCTGCCACAGCCTACTTTGCTGTGCAAACTACAGGCAAGCTGCCTATTCCTAACAGAGACTCCTAAAACTTCCAATCCTACTCTAACCTCACTCAGAACAGAACTCGACTAAACTAAAAACTGAACTGTCCAAATAAGCTGTTCTCTTTCCCTCCATCTGACTAACTCCGCCCCTCTTTTCCAAACCAATCCTGGCTGTTGCTGGGCTGGCTCAGGCCTCGGCCACTCCCCCTCTCTGAACTGGAGCTTTTCCCTAAACTAAGATGGCTCCAGCAGCTCTCTGCCAGGCCTTCTAAGCTGAAACTACCTAGCCTGTCTCTTCCTGGGCCCTGCCACCCTGGCTGGCAAGGTAAGGGATCTTCACACTTGCCATAGATGCAGGCGAAACGTCAGGAGAAAATGCCTCTAGAACATGGCCATATAGCCTGGAAAAACCTACAACAACCCTATGTTGGAATTGGTTGAGACTATGAGATAGATATTCACTGAAAAACAAGAGCAAAAATGTGCTGCAGGATGATGTCCCTCCTGCAAAAACAAAGTTTGGGCAGTTTAATAAACTTTTCCCATTTATAAAAGAACCAATTAGGAAATGATATTTATAACCCAGGAACAAATACCCTGTTCCATAGTGTTATTATTACTATTGTTAACAGGTGCTGTGTGTCCTGGGAGCCCACTGTGGCAACTTCCTGCGGCCGCGCTTCTCCAAGGACATCCTTCCCAGGCTGGCCACCTCCCTTGACCGCCAGGCTCCAGTCAGCGCCCGAGCTGGACCCGTCTATGGCCACACGCTGGCCTTCAAGCTGCAGCTGACGGTGCTCCAGGGCTTGGGCTCCCTCTGCAAAACGCTGGACCTTGGTGAGTAGGAGGCAGAGCGGGAAGGGGATTAGTTATGGAATGGTAGCCTTGGAAGAGCTCCTAAAAGCCATCTAGTCCAACCCAGAAAGAGAGGATAGCTCTTCAACATCTTTATTAATGACTTAGATGAAGGGTTAAAAGGCAGGATCATCAAGTTTGCAGACGGCACCAAATTGGGAGGGAGAGCCAAGACTCCAGAGGACAGGAGCAGGATTCAAAACGACCTTGACAGGTTAGAGAGATGATGGGCCAAAACTAACAAAATGAAGTTCAACAGGGACAAATGCAAGATACTCCACTTTGGCAGGAAAAACGAAATGCAAAGATACAGAATGGGGGACAATGAGCCTGGCTCGAGAGCAGTACGTGTGAAAAAGATCTTGGAGTCCTCGTGGACAACAAGTTAAACATGAGCCAACAATGTGATGTGGCGGCAAAAAAAGCCAATGGGATTTTGGCCTGCATCAATAGGAGCATAGTGTCTAGGTCCAGGGAAGTCATGCTCCCCATGCTCTATTCTGCTCTGGTTAGACCACACCTGGAATATTGTGTCCAATTCTGGGCACCACAATTCAAGAGAGATGTTGACAAGCTGGAATGTGTCCAGAGGAGGGTGACTAAAATGATCAAGGGTCTGGAGAACAAGCCCTATGAGGAGCGGCTTAAGGAGCTGGGCATGTTTAGCCTGAAGAAGAGAAGGCTGAGAGGAGACATGATAGCCATGTATAAATATGTGAGGGGAAGTCATAGGGAGGAGGGAGCAAGCTTGTTTTCTGCTGTGTGGAAGGGCCCTAGGATGCAGAACAATGGCTTCAAACTACAGGAAAGGAGATTCCACCTGAACATTAGGAAGAACTTCCTGACTGTGTGAGCTGTTCAGCAGTGGAAGTTTCCGCCCCGGAGTGTGGTGGAGGCTCCTTCTTTGGAGTCTTTTAAGCAGAGGCTGGATGGCCATCTGTCAGGGGTGATTAGAATGCAATATTCCTGCTTCTTGGCAGAATGGCATTGGACTGGATGGCCCAGGAGGTCTCTCCCAACTCTTTGATTCTATGATTCCATCAGCGCTGCCTCCGGAAAATCCTGCAAATCTCTTGGAAAGACAAGCAGACAAACGTCAGCATGCTGGAAGAAGCAAAGACCACCAGCACTGAAGCAATGGTCCTCCGCCATCAACTCCGCTGGACTGGCCACGTTGTCTGGATGCCCGACCATCGTCTCCCAAAGCAGTTGCTCTACTCCGAACTTAAGAACGGAAAACGGAATGTTGGTGGACAGGAAAAGAGATTGAAAGATGGGCTCAAAGGCAACCTCAAAAACTTTGGCATAGACACTGAGAACTGGGAAGCCCTGGCCCTTGAGCACTCCAGCTGGAGGTCAGCTGTGACCAGCAGTGCTGCAGAATTTGAAGAGGCACGAATGGAGGGCGAAAGGGAGTAGCGTGCCAAGAGGAAGGCCCGTCAAGCCAACCCCGACCGAGACTGCCTTCCACCTGGAAACCAATACCCTCACTGCGGGAGAAGATGCAGATCACGAATAGGGCTCCACAGTCATCTACGGACCCACAGTTCGGAAGCTTCAAATAGTCCAAGGAGAGGCAGCCAGGTTAATAACTAATAATATTTATTTATTTATTTATTTATCGTGTCATCTGCAACCAGAACATTGTATTACATTTCTAACAGAACAAAACAAACAAACAGATAAGAAAAAACCACAAATTTTGCAAACTTGGTAGTTGATGAAATGTCCTTTGACCAGTATCTGGCCACTTGGAGTGATTCTGGTGTTGGTGCAAGAAGGTCCTCTACTGTGCATGTGGCAGGGCTCAGGGTGCATTGCAGCAGCTGGTCAGTGGTTTGCTCTTCTCCACACTCGCATGCCGAGGATTCCACTTTGTGGCCCCATTTCTGAAGGTTGGCTCTGCATCTCGTGGTGCCAGAGCACAGTTTGTTCAGCACCTTCCAAGTCGCCCAGTCCTCTGTGTGCCCAGGGGGGAGTCCCTCATCTGGTATCACCCACAGATTGAGGTGCTGGGTTTGAGCCTGCCACTTTTGGACTCTCGCTTGCTGAGGTGTTCTTCTGGGTTTGAGCCTCCCACTTTTGGACTCTTGCTTGCTGGGGTGTTCCAGCTAGTGCCTCTGTAGATCTTAGAAAACTATTTCTTGATTTAAGTCGTTGACGTGCTGGCTGATACCCAAACAGGTGAGCTGGAGATGTCACTGCCTTGGTCCTTTCACTATTGGCTGCTATCTCTCCGGCGGATGTCAGGTGGTGCAATACCAACTAAGCAGTGTAATTTCTCCAGTGGTGTGGGGCGCAGACACCCCATGATAATGCGGCATGTCTCATTAAGAGCCACATCCACTGTTTTAGCGTGGTGAGATGTGTTCCACACTGGGCATGGATACTCAGCAGAGTAGCACAGCGCAAGGGCAGATGTCTTCACTGTGTCTGGTTGTGATCCCCAGGGTTGTGCCAGTCAGCTTTCGTATGATATTGTTTCTAGCACCCACTTTTTGCTTGATGTTCAGGCAGTGCTTCTTGTAGGTCAGAGCACGGTCCAGAGTGACTCCCAGGTATTTGGGTGCGCTGCAATGCTCCAGTGGGATTCCTTCCCAGGTGATCTTCAGAGCTCGGGATGCTTGTCTGTTCTTAAGGTGAAAGGCACATGTCTGTGTTTTAGATGGATTAGGGATCAGCTGGTTTTCCCTGTAATAGGCCGTAAGAGCACCTAGAGCTTCGGAAAGCTTCTGTTCTACCATCTCTACCTGCGAGGAGGCTTCTCTCGTGTCCCGCAATCTGAATTATATACATAACAGATAACTAGTATAGGAGGCTGGTAGAAGGTTGCTATTTCCAACAGAACATGCCGCTGCCTTGGAGTATGGTGGAGTTTCCTTTTCCAGAGGATTCTAACTTGAGGATGAATGGACATCTGTCAGGAGGGTTCAGTTGGTGTCTTCATTCCTGGAAGAAAGGCGTTGACTGGATGGCCTTTTGGGGTCTCTTCCAACTCTAGGATGCTGTAAGATTTTTCACTGCATCCTGGATGCTTTTAAGAGAGAGAGACTGTGTTTGTCTTTCTGAGCAAGAGATACGGGAGGAAAATAGTCTCTAAAAATAGCCGGCTGAGCCCGAGCGCTTCATAAACATTGCCAGGATCAAAAAGCCTCAGCCTTCCCCCTCTGCAGCTGCGTTTTCTTTCTGACTGGAGCCCTTTCCTATTTGATGCCTTTGAGCTTTTGGTGCTTTGGGCTTCTGAAAGGCATCCTGGAGGGGGACGTGGCTCCAAAGTGCTCGGCAAAAAAGCAGAGTCAAAGTCTGCTAAGTTTCAGATCCCACCACGCACCGATCTGTTGACCTTACCCAGCGAGTCCAGTTTTGATAGTGATGAATTAGCTTGAAAGGTATGCTTCACATTTATAAGAAGCAAACATCGATAACTCAGTATCATAGAGTCCTAGATTTGAAAGGGGCCACAAAGGCCATCTAGACCAGTCCCGATCTTTCTTGAAATTCTCTTTGATTAGCATTGTCTATCTCAGCCAGGTTTACTGATCTTCGTCAGCTGTTCTTTTTCAAATAGGACAACTGGTTCCTTCCATCTCAATAATAATAATAATAATAATAATAATAATAATAATAATAATAATATAGGGGTAGTAGAGGAGGGTGGGGGTTACACAAAAACATGTATGATTATTATTACTAGTATTAGTATTATTGTATTGAATGGAAGGACTTTTGGCCTAGGGGAAGAATGACTCTTCTGGTGGTTTCATCTGCAAGAAGAGAGAAGTGAATAAGAATGAATAAGCATATACAACTGTGAGGGTGGTAACTTCCCCTGCCCGAATCGCTAAACAGCTAATTATGTAGGTAGGAGTATTATGAGTATTATTATGAGGAGGAGGAGGGAAGGGGGGGAACCAGTGGGCCCGATGGTGAAGAAAGACGCTCGGTGGGGGGGCAAATAATGAAGAATGGAGAAGAAGATAAGAAGATAAGACAAACTTTAGTGGGGAACCCACCCCGATCGCGAAACAGGGGGAGGATGAGGATGAGGATGATGAGGATTAGTATGGAAGGAACCAGGGGGCAAGATGGGAAGAAGACGCAGCCTGGGGGTGGTTTGGCAAAGAACAGCAGCAGTGCAATGATCAATGAATCCACTATGGGATTCCCTCAAGTATCCAAGGAGTAGGAGGAGGGGAGGAGGAGAGTGAGAGTAGGGTGTAGGGATGAACCGCGGTGGTTAGCAAGTGAGTGGCAAAGGTAGCAAAGAAGAAGAGAAGCAGAAGAATGAGAAAGACGGATCGGAGGGGTAACTCCACCCGAAGCGCAAACAGGGGTCATAGGAGTATGAGGAGGAGGATTGATGAGAGATAACGTAGGAGGAGGGAAGACCAGGCGGGCCGAGGGGGGGAGAAAGAGCAGCGGGCGGGGGGGCAAATGAAGACGAAGAAGAAGAGAGAAAGAAAGCAACTGTGGGGGTAACCGCCATTTCTGACAAGAAGGGGGAGGAGGAGGAGGAGGAGGGGGATGAGGAGGAGGAGGAGGAGGATGATGAGGATGGGGAGGAGGAGGATGAGGAGGGAGTGGGAAGAAGGACTCAGCGGGTTGGGTGGTCAAAGATAGAGAAGAATAAGAAGCATAAGACAACGGGATTTGGGGACCCGCCCGAGGCGCAAAACAGGAGAGAGGAGGAGGGGGGGAAGGGGAGGATAGAGGAGGAGGAGGAGGAGGGTAGGAGGAGGAAGGGAGGACACCAGTGGAGCCAGGGGAAGGACGCTAGCGGCTGAGGGGGGAGGGAAAGTAGAAGTAGATAAGACTATACAAGGGTAGTGGGGAACCGGCCGAAGACGCGAAACGTATGGGGGGTGGGGGGGGGGCGGGGCGTGGTGGGGATAGAGAGGAAGGAACCAGTTGTCCTATTTGAAGAAGGACTCATCTTGTTGTGTTTCAAATAATAATAATAATAATAATACAATTTTATTTGTAACCTGCCCTATCTCTAAACATTATTGTTGTTGTTGTTGTTGTTATAGAGATGGAAGGAACCAGTTGTCCTATTTGAAGAAAGACTCATCTTGTTGTGTTTCAAATAATAATAATAATAATACAATTTTATTTGTAACCTGCCCTATCTCTAAACATTATTGTTGTTGTTGTTGTTGTTGTTGTTATAGAGATGGAAGGAAGCAGTTTTCTTATTTGAAGAAAGACTCATCTTGTTGTGTTTCAAATAATAATAATAATAATAATAATAATAATAATAAAAATAATACAACTTTATTTGTAACCCACCCTATCTCTAAACATTATTATTATTATTATTATTGGTATTATTATTATTGGTATGGAAGGAAGCAGTTGTCCTATTTGAAGAAGAACTTGTCTTGTTGTGTTTCAAATAATAATAATAATAATAATAATAATAATAATAAAACAACTTTATTTCTAACCCATCCTATCTCTAAACATTGTTGTTGTTGTTGTTGTTGTTGTTATTATTATTATTTGAAACACAACAAGATAAGTCCTTCTTCAAATAGGACAACTATTTGAATAATAATATAATAATATAATAATAATAATAATAATACAACTTTATTTCAAACCCATCCTATCTCTAAACGTTGTTGTTGTTGTTGTTGTTGTTGTTGTTGTTGTTATTATTATTATTATTATTATTATTATTATTATTATTATTTGAAACACAACAAGATGAGTCCACAGCAGACACTCTGCTGGCTGTTGTATTGGATCACACATTGGACACTTCCCAAGTGTCTAGGACTGTGTTATCTATCGGTGAATGATGCGTGCAGATCCCAGTAAGGTGGCCTTCTGCCACTGGCAGATGGTAACCTTGTCAGTGCCGATTGTGTTTAAGTGCAGGCCAAGGTCTTTAGGCACTGCACCCAGTGTGCCCATCACCACTGGGACCACCTTGACTGGTTTGTGCCAGAGTCTTTGCAGTTTGATTTTTAATAATAATAATAATAATAATAATAATAATAATAATAATAATATATTGTCGAAGGCTTTCATGGCCGGAATCACTGGGTTGTTGTAGGTTTTTCCGGGCTATGTGGCCATGTTCTAGAGGCATTTTCTCCTGACGTTTCGCCTGCATCTATGGCAAGCATCCTCAGAGGTAGTAAGGTTTGTTGGAAATAGGAAAATGGGTTTATATATCTGTGGAAACACCAGGGTGGGACAAAGGACTTATGTCTGCTGGAGCTAGGTGTGAATAATAATAATAATAATAATAATAATAATAATAATAATAATAATAGCTGTGAATAATAATAATAATAATAATAATAATAATAATAATAATAATAATACTTTATTTGTACCCCGCACCATCTCCCCGATGGGGACTCGGTGCGGCTTACATGAGGCCAAGCCCAAAACAACAATTACATAAAATAAAACAAAACCGAAAACGCAAATAATAAACGATAATAACGCAATTACATAAAACAAAAGACAACATAGCAATATAAAATTACAATAAACACAATCACAATAACATGGGCGGGCTACATGTAATGGATAAAAGAAAACTGGGTAGAAACAGATTAAAAACTCAGGTGAGATAAAACAAAGACAGATTATTTGCGGAGGAGAGCTCATTTTAGTGGAGGTCGTGGAGCCAAGCTTTCCCATAATAAATGGGATTTTAACTGTGCATTTTAATACTGTTATGTTTAACTCTGTTTTTATGTTTACATATTTGTATATTTTAAGTTAGGTGATTATACTTTTCATTCTAAGCCTCTTTGAGTCTTCTTTGGGAGAGATAACACGGGGTATAAATAAACAACAACAACAATAATAATACATAACATGTTCATATTGCACACAGATGACTACAGAAACACTTCTACGAACGTCATGCTCTTGTCTGTTGATTTTTAACCCTTATTATTCTGCTCCCTTTTAGATCACACTATATAGCAACACCTCTCCTTTAGTAACATTCTTCTAATTAAAAAAAATTAATATATTGTCGAAGGCTTTCATGGCCGGAATCACTGGGTTGTTGTAGGTTTTTTCGGGCTATATGGCCATGGTCTAGAGGCATTCTCTCCTGACGTTTCGCCTACATCTATGGCAAGCATCCTCAGAGGTTTTGAGGTCTGTTGGAACTAGAAAAATTGGGTTTATATATCTATGGAATGACCACGGTGGGACAAAGGACTCTTGTCTGCTGGAGCTAGGTGTGAATGTTTCAACTGACCACCTTGATTAGCATATAATGGCCTGACAGTGCCTGGGGCAATCTTTTGTTGAGAGGTGATTAGATGTCCTTGTTTGTTTCTTCTCTGTTGTTTTGCTGTTGTAATTTTAGAGGTTTTTTTTAATACTGCTAGCCAGATTTTGTTCATTTTCATGGTTTGTCCCCATCATTGTCTTGACAAAGTGTGGTAATCAATGCATTACAATCTTGGACCACTCTCACAACCACTATGTCAGACTACACAGAGAAGCCATTGAAATCCACAAGCATGTGGACAATTTCAACAGAAAGGAGGAAACCATGAAGATGAACAAAGTCTGGCTACCAGTATTAAAAAACTCAAAAATTACAACAGCAAAACAACAGAGGGGAAACAAACAGGCACATAAAATCACTCTCAACAAGAGATTCCCCCCAGGCGCTTCCAGGCCATTGAATGCAAATCAAGGTGATCAGCTGAAACATTACCCTGGTCATTCCACAGATATATAAACCCATTTTTCCTACTTCCAACAGACCTCTCCACCTCTGAGGATGCTTGTCATAGATGCAGGCGAAACGTCAGGAGAAAAATTGCCTCCAGAACATGGCCATATAGCCTGGAAAAACCTACAACAATCCAGTGATCCTGGCCATGAAAGCCTTCGACAATACATTACAATCTTGTTTACTATTTCTACTTGAGCAGCATTGTCCGTTTGTCCATCTCAGGTAGTTTGCAGAATTTCGTTATTCTTGCATTGGGACAACTGGTTTTTTCCAACTTTGTGCAGAGATTATTCTCACTGCAATTATTAAGGATTGTAGTTCTGTTTCCTTTCTAGTTGATCACCCAGCATGCCCAGTAAATAAAATTCTGGTTTCATTGTGATTTTACCTTAACTGTTCCTTCTGGAATTGCATGTATGTCATCCTGCTGGCACTCCCTTTTTCTTTCCTGACAGGTGAGAATGAGCTGAATCATGTGGCCAGCGTCTGCCTGCCTTACCTGAGCGCCAAGCAGCCGGCAAAACTCCAGGAAGCTTCCTGCAGGTAATGCCAATGCGAACGCATGCGCCGTCACCATTCTTGCATGTCTGCTTGCATATTCATAGCCAGCTGGGAGGCCATCGGCCATCTGCTTTCATCTTTTCCCATTCTCAAGCAGGGCTGACCCTTGGCAAGTCTATATATTTGCACAAGTGGCGTGCGGAGGGGACAAAAATGTTGCAAACCATGCGCAGAAAAACATGCAAAAGAAAGCCTTCAATGCATTAGTGCTCCGTGCTATTGTGCAGTTGCCATCCAGGCCTCAAACTGCATTTCCTTTGTAATCATCTGCACATTGAAACCACCTTCTTCAATATGGGGTTATTTATTTATTGAGTCAGGAGCAAATTAAACAGTTGTATTGCATTTTTAACAAACAAACAAACAAAACAAAGCACAAAGTTTGCAAGCTTGGTAGTTGATTAAATGTCCTTTGACCAGCATCTGGCCTCTTGGAGTGCCTCTGGTGTTGCCGCAAGAAGGTCCTCCATGGTGCATGTGGCAGGGCTCAGGGTGCATTGCAGCAGGTGGTCAGTGGTTTGCTCTTCTCCGCACTCACATGTTGTGGATTCCACTTCGTGGCCCCATTTCTGAAGGTTGGCTCTGCATCTCGTGGTGCCAGAGCGCAGTCTGTTCAGCGCCTTCCAAGTCGCCCAGTCCTCTGTGTGCCCAGGGGGAAGTCTCTCATCTGGTATCAGCCATTGGTTGAGGTTCTGGGTTTGACCCTGCCACTTTTGGACTCTCGCTTGCTGGGGCGTTCCAGTGAGTGTCTCTGTAGATCTTAGAAAACTATTTCTTGATTTAAGTAGTTGGCGTGCTGGCGTACAGGGGATGAGCTGGAGATGTCTCTGCCTTGGTCCTTTCACTATTGGCTGCTACTTCCCGGCAGATGTCAGGTGGTGCAATACCGGCTAAACAGTGTAATTTCTCCAGTGGTGTAGGGCGCAGACACTCCGTGATAATGCGGCATATCTCAATTAGAGCCACATCCACTGTTTTAGCGTGGTGAGATGTGTTCCACACTGGGCATGCATACTCAGCAGCCGAGTAGCACAGCGCAAGGGCAGATGTCTTCATTGTGTCTGGTTGTGATCCCCAGGTTGTGCTCGTCAGCTTTCGTATGATATTGTTTCTAGCACCCACTTTTTGTTTGATGTTCAGGCAGTGCTTCTTGTAGGTAAGAGCATGGTCCAGAGTGACTCCCAGGTATTTGGGTGCGCTGCAATGCTCCAGTGGGATTCCTTCCCAGGTCATAATCCTCAGAGCTCGGGATGCTCGTCTGTTCTTAAGGTGAAAGGCACATGTCTGTGTTTTAGATGGATTAGGGATCAGCTGGTTTCCCCTGTAATAGGCCGTAAGAGCACCTAGAGCTTCGGAAAGCTTCTGTTCTACCATCTCTACCTGCGAGGAGGCTTCTCTCGTGTCCCGCAATCTGAATTATATACATAACAGATAACTAGTATAGGAGGCTGGTAGAAGGTTGCTATTTCCAACAGAACATGCCGCTGCCTTGGAGTATGGTGGAGTTTCCTTTTCCAGAGGATTCTAACTTTAACCCAGGTCATCCTCAGAGCTCAGGATGCTTGTCTGTTCTTAAGGTGAAAAGCACAATATGAGGTTGAAACGGCATTAAACCGTCAGTGCAGCTTCAAACATAACTGCAACAGCCAGGCAACAAACTCCCACAGAAATGTGCAGAAGAAAGCCCACAATGCGCATCACTTCTCTGCGGTTTCCCCATCCAGGCCTCAGCCTGTTTCAAGGATTTCCTTCATAATCATCAGTGCTGGTTAGAAAGTGGAGTAAATGGTCAATGTAGATGGGGCCTGAGAATCTTGAGAGGTGAAAGCGGAGGAGCCCTTCAGCCTCTGTCTCAAAGGCAGAAGCAATTCTACCCTTCATCTGGAAGGATCCTGGAGTTAATGGGCCAAGGAATCCAGATTGAGAAGAAAAGTAAAAAAATCTTTCACTTGGCATTAAAATGGTTCACCTGCAGGAAGAAGGAAATGGCTTGAATTGAATCCTGATGGGGGGAAAGACCGGCATTTAAAACTTGTGAGGCAAGAGATTATAAAGGATAATTGTAAGACTATAGCTGCCCTTTTCTGGCATTTATTTCAGAAACGAGCTTTGCCCATGGAACTCTGGCAGAAGGTGTGTGTATGTATATATATATATATATATATATATATATATATATATATATATATACACACACACACACACACACACACACACACTAGCCAACCTCTGCCACACGTTACTGTGGCCCAGTCTGTGTATACGTGTTTTGTGTGTGTATATGTGTGTGTATATATTTGTGTATGTATGTGTTTGCTTTATACATTTGTGTATGTATGTGTTTGTTTCTCAGTGTTTTTATGAGTGATGATCACTTGTTGGCCTGAGAGGTGTCTTGTGTCCAAATTTGGTGTCAATTCCTCCAGTGCTTTTTGAGTTATGTTAATCCCACAAACAAACATTACATTTTTTTTTTAATTTATGTCTCTTTTTGGAATTACTTGCTTAGCTAGCTCTTGGTTTCTTTGGTTCGATTTAACTTGACTTGTTTTGTCATGGTGTTTAACTCTAAAATTACAACAGCATAACAACAGAGCAGAAACAAACAAGGACATCTAATCACCTCTCAACAAAAGATTGCTCCAGGCACTGCCAGGCAATCAAATGCTTATCAAGGTGGTAAATTAAAACATCCACACCTAGCTCCAGCAGACAAGAGTCCTTTGTCCCACCCTGGTCATTCCACAGATATATAAACCCAATTTTCCTAGTTCCAACAGACCTCACAACCTCTGAGGATGCTTGCCATAGATGCAGGTGAAACATCGGGAGAGAATGCCTCTAGAACATGGCCATATAGTCTGAAAAAACCTACAACAACCCAGTGATTCCAGCCATGAAAGCCTTCAACAATACAATTCCTCCAGTGGTTTTTGAGTTATGTTAATCCCACAAACAAACATTAATTTTATTTTTTTTATATAGATAAATGCCTCCTTTTGGAATGACTTGCTATAGCTAGATCTTGGTTTCTTTGGTTCGGTTTAACTTGACTCGTTTTGTCATGGTGTTTGTTATGCCAAGTTGTAATAGGGGAACTGACTGGCGCAACCTAGGGATCACAACCAGACACAGTGAAGACATCTGCCCTTGCGCTGTGCTACTCTGCTGCTGAGTATGCATGCCCAGTGTGGAACACATCTCACCACGCTCAAACAGTGGATGTGGCTCTTAATGAGACATGCCGCATTATCAAGGGGTGTCTGCGCCCTACACTACTGGAGAAATTACACTGTTTAGTCGATATTGCACCACCTGACATCCGCCGGGAAGTAGCAGCCAATAGTGAAAGGACCAAGGCAGAGACATCTCCAGATCACCCCCTGTTTGGGTATCAGCTAGCACGTCAACGACTTAAATCAAGACATAGTTTTCTTAGATCTACAGAGACATTCGCTGGAACACCTCAGCAAACGAGAGTCCAAAAGTGGCAGGCTCAAACCCAGATCCTCAATCAGAGGCTGATACCAAATGAGAGACTCCCCCTTGGGCACACAGAAGACGGGGCGACTTGGAAGGCGCTGAACAGACTGCGCTCTGGCGCCACGAGATGCAAAAAAAAAGGGAAGAAAGAAACTTAAGAAATGGGGCCACAAAGTGGAGTCCCCGACATGCGAGTGTGGAGAAGAGCAAACCACAGACCACCTGCTGCAATGCACCCTGAGCCCTGCCACATGCACAAGGGAGGACCTTCTTATAGTAACACCAGAGGCACTCCAAGTGGCCAGATACTGGTCAAAGGACATTTAATCAACTACCAAGTTTGCAAACTTAGTGTTTTGTTTGTTTGTTTGTTTGTTTTTAATGCAGTACAACTGTTTCAATTCGCTCCTGACACAATAAATAAAATAAATAATAGGGGAAAATAATATTCAGTTCTTGTGGGTTTTTTCGGGCTATATGGCCATGTTCTAGAGGCATTTCTCCTGACGTTTCGCCTGCATCTATGGCAAGAAAGTAAATATGGAGGGAATTGAGCAGGAATTAAAATGCTGAAACATAACCTAATGCTATCACATTGTGTATCACTCTTTGTTTCTTCTGTTTTAAGTTTGCCGTATTTTGACTTTGCTTCTCTTCATTCTCCCAGTTCCTTTGGTTTTATTGTGGTAATGTTCTAAATCTGCGGGTGTTCCTTCGCATTCTTACCTTTCTTTTCCACCTTTCTTTCCTCTTCTGCTCATCCTGGTGGTGCCCTTGTTTTTGAAGATTTCTGTATATATAAGAGATCTATCCCATCCAACGATAACAATCTTCCAAGCGGCACCTTTGCACCAATGAGATGAGGATTACGACTTTACTTGTTCTGTAAAGGATCAAGGCGTTCCATTGTGAGCGAGGCAAATTATCTCCCCTGGTTTTGCAGTGCGTTGTTTTAAAGGGATAACTGATTTAAAATGCGTTTATTCTCTCTCTTTTTTTAATTGCTATCGCTTTCAATGTTTCTAAATTGATTTCTGATATTATCTTTGCCCGGAGATCATTGGGTCTCGGGTGTGATCTGAATATGTATATCAATTCGAGGAAAATGCAAAAGCAAGGTTACGGCTGAAGATGAAGGGAGGAAAATAATGACTGTGAATGATTTGCATCACTTTAAAGTGAACGGTGATTTCCATATCTTAGCTCAATCGTTTATCCGAATTGTAAAGAAACCAGAAAGAAAACTAAGACTTGGAGGGACAGGTGCAAAGGAACTAGTCACAGTAAAGACATAGAATTATTTATTTATTTTATTTCGTATCAAAAGCATGGCATAAATTAGTATAAAACTGATAAAAAAAGAGAAGGAGCGCAGGTGGCTAAATATCTTTTGACCAAAAACGGGCAACAGCAATGGCATTGGGTTGTTGTAGGTTTTTTCGGGCTATATGGCCATGTTCTAGAGGCATTCTCTCCTGACGTTTTGCCTGCATCTATGG